CAGCACCTCTAACTCGCATCTTTCAGCACTGCCTAGTACAGTGTAAATGGCCCTCTCTATGGAAAGAGGCGAATGTAGTCCCTGTTCACAAAAAGAAGAGCAGAGCAGAAATCAGCAACTACAGACCAGTGTCACTCCTGTCAATCACTGGTAAGATCCTTGAAACAATAATCTCAAGACAAATGACAGAGTTTTTTGACTACCACTCACTACTTTGTGATCGTCAATATGGCTTCAGGAAAGGTTACTCTGCTGCTGATCTGTTGTTAAACCTCTCCACTAAGTGGCACCAGTCACTGGATGAATCCAAAGTCAGCTGTGTGGTAGCACTGGACATTGCTGGCTCTTTCGACCGGGTGTGGCACCAGGGCCTCTTAGCAAAACTTCAAGCACTGGGAATTGCAGGCTCTACGCTATGTCTCCTCAGTGACTACCTTCATGGTAGATCTCTAAGTGTAGTTCTCAATGGAACGGAATCAGCAAGACATCCTATTGGGGCAAGTGTTCCACAAGGAAGCGTGCTGGGTCCATTGTTATGGAATGTCTACTTCAACGACCTTCTTCATCTCATCCCAGAATCACATGCATATGCAGACGACTGTACACTGACATTCAATTATCCAAGAGAAAGAAATGCAGCTGCTCTAAGCTACATCAATCACCAGCTGAGAGCTATATCAGCTTGGGGAAATAGATGGCAAGTAACATTTGCACCTGAGAAAACGCAAATGATGATCGTCTCTAGGCACCATGATGGTAATGCTGGTGCAGTAGTAAGGATGAATGGGAGGATGTTGGCACCTGGAGAAGAAGTTGATATCCTTGGGGTGAAATTTGACTCCAAACTAACCATGAAGAACCATGTTGTAAATCTTGCAAACAAGGCAGCCAGGAAGCTTACAGCACTTCGCCGTATCTCCCATCTGCTTGACAGTAGGGGTTGCAAGATCCTGTACGAGGCACAAGTACGCTCGCACCTTGAGTATGCTCCACTTTCTTGGTTTGCCTGCCCCCCCCTCTCATCTGCGACTGCTTGACAGAGTAGAGAACAGAGCAAGACGTCTCATCTCTCGCCTGGACCCATCCTGGATAGATCTGTCATTTCAGCAGAGCCTTCAACATAGGAGGGATGTGGGTGGCCTTACTGTTATGTACAAGGCCAATATTGTCAAAATACCACACTTGGATCCACTTCGAGGACAGCGTGAAACAAGCTTTTATGCCACAAGACGGGCAGAAAGCAGCAACTTCACTCTGGCTGTACCCTTCTCCAGAACATCACTCCATCTGAGATCATACATACCCAGGATGACTAGAGTATGGAACACATTCGTACAGCATAATGATGTCAACGAGATAAAGTCAGTTGATCAAATGAAAACGCTGGCCCACAGATGGCTCCAACTTCATCCTGTTTCCTACTTGTATGTCTCATAACAATAAAAATGCTTTCAAATGAGCTGATGTAGGTAACAGCTCTTAGCTTGCCAATAAAGTTAGGAATCCTTAACCTGTAAATAGCTGTCAATAAAGCTAGGGATCCTTAACCTTGTCAAACCCTGTGTAAAAAAAAAAAAAAAAGAGAGAGAAAGAAGAAAGAAAGAAAGAAGAGAGAGAAGAGAGAGAGAGAGAGAGAGAGAGAGAGAGAGAGAGAGAGAGAGAGGGGAGAGAGGAGAGAGAGAGAGAGAGTTAAATGAAGGTGTCTGCATGTTTACATTTTTGGAGTGAGACTGACTTAAGTGCGTCGAGATATGATGATTGGGAAAGTGGTTGTGTGTGTATGTGTGTGTATGTGTGTGTTTTGTGTTGTATGTGTGTATGTGTGTGTGTTATGTGTTATGTGTGTGTGTATGTGTGTGTGTATGTGTGTGTATGTGTATGTGTGTATGTGTGTATGTGTGTGTGTCAGTGTATGTGTGTGTGTGTTGTGTGGTAGTGTATGTGTGTGTCAGTGTATGTGTCTGTCAGTGTGTGTGTGTCAGTGTGTGTGTGTGTGTGTGTGTTGTGTGTGGTGTGTGTGTGTGTGTGTGTGTGTGTGTGTGTGTGTGTCAGTGTGTCAGTGTGTGTGTGTCAGTGTGTGTGTGTCCAGTGTGGTGTGTTGGTGTGTGAGTGTGTGTCAGTGTCTCTGCCTGTGTCTCTGCCAGTGTCTCTGCCAGTGTCTCTGCCAGTGTCTCTGCCAGTGTCTCTGCCAGTGTCTCTGCCAGTGTCTCTGCCAGTGTCTCTGCCAGTGTCTCTGCCTGTGTCTCTGCCTGTGTCTCTGCCTGTGTCTCTGCCTGTGTCTCTGCCTGTGTCTCTGCCTGTGTCTCTGCCTGTGTCTCTGCCTGTGTCTCTGCCTGTGTCTCTGCCTCGCTCAGGAAACGTAACTTTTCAAATTCGTAAGGAACAGAATTTCTTTCCATACACAAATGACCATCACATAGAACACTGAATCCTATGCCAACTTTTCGGTCCTACTTGGGTTAATTGTGTACTGATCCAGTCACATTATTGTGCCCCTATATTATTCCCGAGATGCTTTTCCAAAGATTGGTTTTCAATGTGTGTTCACTAATCAACATGATTTTGGTATTTTTTAAAGAGTGTGGATACTCTTAATTGAAACCCAAGGTCCCGTGTTGTTCATTTAAGTGATGGAACTGTAATTCTTGAATCGTGGGAAGTACCTCACGGAACTTGGGTGGTACCTCACAAAACTTGGGCAACACCTCAGGAAACTTGAGTAGTACCTCATCGAAATTTTAACCACCACCTTCCTAAACACAAGCAATTTCTTTCCCTTCTGGCCTATACCCATTTAAGCTCTCTCAGTCTACTGTCAGAGTTCACTGCCATGTAACCAGCCACCTCTTACCTCTGACGGTTTCACAGCTCTGACTTCGGCACAATAGAAACTCTTCTCTGAATCTCTGTATATAGCGAGCACAAAGCCTCAGCCGAAAAGCTCCATTACAGCTATACTTCTCTACACACTCTAGGAAAACTATGTGGAGGCTTAGTTTTTCTTAGTAGACTAATTGCTTAGTTCCTATAATAAATGTTAGGTTAGAGTCTTTGTATCAGTTATATTTTAATTTTGCTGCTTTGTATTGAATAGAACTTTATTGATTTTATGGAGACCAGATATTATCCTTGGCAACTTGTTAAAGTATTTTTTAGCACTGATGACGGCCTTCTATACTCCGAAACTTTTGGAAAAACGGCACTGGTATTTGCGAATTATGAATGCCGAACAGTGAGTCTGGTACCTTATATACATATACATACATCATAGCGTAAGAATAACGTTCTGTAATGCAGCAAGTCCTCTGGTTCACACTTGGCAGATCCCCAACACCCAGTCCTTCCTACTCTAGAACCTGTGTAATATCATTTTTAAACCTACCCAAGGAGTACTCGATTCAATGAAGCTACCTGATAACTTGTTCCAGTCATCTACAAATCTATTGCCAAACCAATGCTTTCTTATGTTCTCTCTAAATCTAGATTTACCCAAATGACCTCCTGGCGAGGTCATTGTTTACAAGCATTAACCAGATATAAAAAATAAAGAAAATAATTTACGAGTTGCCCATGAAGCCTGGTTAGAATGAAAAGAATATATAAGAACGAATATATAATATACAAGAACGAATATATAAGAACGTGAAATTTTTTAAATCATTACCAATTCTTCCAAGATAACGTACACCGAGTGATGCACATATCTAAGCGTTAATCTAGCGAGAGATACACCTCTCTCTACAGCTACCAGATATACACACCTTAGTAAATACTCATTAGTTATACACGCATTATATATACACAGAGTGATGTTCACGGTTTATGCACACAAAGATATATACATCTTAGTTTATATACATAATTAGTACATAACTCAGTGCATGTATGCTGAGAGATATACACAACATTTTTTTTTTTTAAAACATCAGCCGTCTCCCCTAGATTCAGGGTGACCTGAAAAAGAAGAAACACTTTCACTGTCACTCACTCACCGTCTTACCAGAGGCACACCTACACCACACCTCAGATGCCCTTCCCATAAAATGAAATTATATTATTAATTTCGATTAAAAGTGTGATAATTTATGTATTTTAGCTATAAAAAATTCTATCAAAAAACTTGAAACCGCTCTAAATCGTCGATATATATGCAATAACATTTCAGAAATTTTTCTTAATTTTTTAATGGTCCAGCTAATCACTTTCGCTGAATTCCTTCAAGGATATTACCTTGCTCACACTCCAACAGCACATTAAAGTCATAGAAATCACTTGTTTCCACTAGCTCCAATCTAGCATGCTTACATAAGCCTGATGGATGTCCAAGCCCCTCGCATACAAAACCTTTTTTTACCCCTTCCCTCCCTGTCCTAGGACGACCCCTGTCCCTCCTTCCCTCCACTACAGATTTATACGGTCTCCAAGTCATTCTACTTTGTTCCATTCTCTCTAAATGGCCAAACCACCTCAATAGCCCCTCCTGAGGCCTCTGGGAAACTCTTAGTAATCCCGCACCTCCTATTAATCTCCAAACCACGAATTCTCTGCATAATATTCGCCCTTAGACATGATATCTCCACTGCCTCCAGCCTCTTCCTCGCTACAACGTTCAAAACCCATGCTTCACATCCATATATTACATTCACAGCCACACTATCTTTTTTTTTTTTGCATTACACTAAAATAGATGCTCATTTTTCAGTGTATTTACGGTGAGAAATACATTGTGTATTTTCAATGACAGATACCTCTCTTTCAGAATATAAACACATAGTTTACACTGACATCAAGCATTCTTGACTGGTGTTGTACAGGTGTCATGCAGCCTTAATGACCGAAATATATTTGAAAACTATAAAACGAATAATATAAGGCGATAAGGAAAATAAAACAGCGAAATGACACTGATAGCCATAAAATACAGAGGAATATACAATACCAAGAAAAATAAAACACCTTGGATAAAACAATAAGATAAACCAAAAATGACCTATACTTACATGTTGCAGTTCTTGTAACTGTTTCTGAAGGTCAGAGTTCTGGATCGTTAGTTCTGTGTTCTTCTCGATAACACGAGCCAACTGGGATTCCTTCAAGAAGAACAACTATGTTAGTGTGAGCAGAATAGAAGAACACTTCATTATGCTTAGTAATAACCAACATGGAGACAAACTCAGGAGAATAATTGATCTTAATATTTCGATCTTCTTCTGGGATCCTCTTCAACAGAATCCCAGAAGGGGGGTCGAAGTGGGTTATTACTGAGAACTGACAAGTGTTAGTTACTTTTTATTTTGATATATATATATATATTATATATATATATATATATATTTTATATATATATATATATATATATATATATATATATATATATATTTAGCATGCAAACACACACACAAAAAAAGCTGCGGTCACAGCTTGAAGCTTTTATTCAACAATATATGTAGCGAGGAATATATCACTGGCAGGGAAAATAATATTTGCGGTATGGGAGGAAAAAATATCCTTGGCCTGTTAAATAATACTTGTGGCCTAGAAAATTATTCTCCATGTCTAAGAGAAAAAAATCCAGTAGACAAAAAAAAATAGTCGATTCCTTGAAATTTACTAAAAAAAAGTGAAAGTAAAAAAAAAATGCTGGATGTCTGGATGAGGAAACAGACAGGGAAGGTGAGGAAATAGACGGGGAAGGTGAGGAAATAGACGGGGAAGGTGAGGAAATAGACGGGGAAGGTGAGGAAATAGACGGGGAAGGTGAGGAAATAGACGGGAAGGTGAGGAAATAGACGGGGAAGGTGAGGAAATAGACGGGGAAGGTGAGGAAATAGACGGGGAAGGTGAGGAAATAGACGGGGGAGTTGGGTAGACAGATAGGGAAAGTGGGGAAATAGATATGAAAGACCGGGAAATATATAGGCGGGAATGAGAAATAGATTGTGACGTTGGGAAGACAGAAAAAATGACAAGGCAAATGAGACGTAGAGAAGGAGACTTGGAAAAACTGATAAAAACGTATGAAGATACATAAATATGTTGATAAAAATAGAGATAAGCAGATAAAGAACTAAAGAAAAAATAACGCAAACTAAACAAGGATAGTAAAAACAAACATGCAAAACAAGAGAAAATAAAACAAAAGCCAGTCAATACATCTCAAACAAACGTGGGCGGCATGAGGTCACCTTATGTGGGTGGTGGTGGGTGGCATCCTGGGCGGCAACGAAGAGAGAGAGTTCAGAGGTCAGCACTTAGGCAATTGATTTTAAGTATAAACAGTTTTGAGACACTTTTATTATTATGAATCATTGCTACATATGTATCACAAGTTGTGGATACAGTGTATCTCACAAAGAATGTATCACGCATGAGCTGTATAGAGTCGTGTTTCACTGTGTTGAGTTTTTTGATGTTTCACTCTGAAGAGTTTTATCATGTTTTGGGTTCAGTACAACTTTATCACTCTGGGAAGAGCTTTATCAAGTCATAATTCCCAGAGTGAAGCTTTATCATGTTTCACTCTGTGTATAACTTTACTATGTTATCCTTCACTGTGAATAGATTTACTAGCCAGGTTTCACTCTGTAATGGTTTACAAGCGATGTTTCGCTGCGTAGAGGTTTACCAAGTAATGACAAAGCTCTACGCAGAGCGAAACGTTATTCCAATAAATGCTTGTCCTAAATCCTACATCTTCTCTTCAGATTTCAAATCTTTCAATCCAAAAAAAAAATTTCACATTTTGTCATCTGATTTTTAGTACTCACAAATATGCTATTACAAACAGCCCACCTAGAACAATAGTTGTAAATATATATATATATATATATATATATATATATTATATATATATATAATATATATATATATATTATATATATATATATATATATATATATGTCGTGCCGAATATGTAAAACTGGTCAATTAGCAAGAACTCATTTAAAATTAAGTCCTTTCTAAAATTTTCTCTTATACGTTTAAAGATATTTTTTTTTCATTAATGATCATGTAAAAATTTTTAATTTTGCACCAAAAGAATCTTAGAAAACTTACCTAACTTTATTATAACAAGAACAATTTATTTTAGCCTAACCCAACTAAATATATTTTAGATTTGTTTACAATAATTTAATACTAAACAGTGAAATATATTTTTTCCGTTAGGTTCAGAATGATTTTGGCGAAATTATTGCATACACAAATTTTCACTTGTCCTATATGGCAATGGCAAGATGAACGTTGCTATTTAAGCCAAGATCGCAAGTTCTACCTATTCGGCACGACAATTATATATATAATATATATAATATATAATATATATATATATATATATATATATATATATATATAAATCTCGAATCATCTGATAACTCAACAATAATAATGCATATTTTTACAGACAAATCGAATCATTGTCATTCCGAGTCTATAATCGAATAGTCCAATAATTCCCAAACTTTAATCAAATAATTAAAAACGCTTCAAATCATCAAATAACGATCACTAATCATATCACTCACTAAAACACCTCCAGTCATTCAGTACCTTCTTCAGTACATTCTTCTAATCATTCACAGACATGCGAGGAGACCAACACATCATTCCGTTACGATCAAAATCTCTTTGATAATTGAGTCATTATTGTGTTAGCAATTATCGTGAGAGGTGATTAGAGGGCAATTACCCGTCCCCCCTCCGTCCCCACTGCTCGTTTGTCCTCGCTGAGTGCAGCTAATCACCCTAACTGCGCCTGATTAATATTTCTCATAATTGTATTGCCTACAGTCTATTTACTCCCTTAAATTATGACTAAGGGAACGGTGTTTTGATGCCGGTGAAGAGATCTTGATCTAAGTGAATGAGCCTAGTCTCATTCCTCACATTCCACAGGCTCTATATGATCCATGCGGGTTAACTGCTTCCCCACAATAATAATGCTAATGGAAATAATTAATGTTACTAATAATCCTAATACTAATTCTTCCATAGTACTATTACTACCACAATTACTATTGCCAGTACTTCTACCTTTGCTACCATTACTATTGTTACTACCTCTATTATTACTACTACTAGTAATAATTATTATAATAACCCAATATTTTGTCTTTAAACTTAATGATTCGCTAATATTACTAATACTGACACTACTCATTCTTCTACAGTACTTCTACTATTTTTACTACCACTACTACTGCAATTACCACAATTACTACTGTCCTACCACTACTACTGTCATTCCATTCTGTTACTATCTCTGTTACTATTATTAATATTAATATATTAACCCAGAAATTTGTATTTGAAGTTAATGATTTACTTGCAGTATTTAGCTCATTAAACAAGAGGCATTTACTGCCCTAATCTGTAAATAGAAAATTGATTTCGAGACATTTACTTAAACTCTTAATTACCTTAATTACCCATTAGAGTCGACACCAACGAGCTGTCTGCCAACGTAACGAGGAAAGCAGACAGGCAGTGAATGAATACCTAATCTGCTAGGAGAATGACTTGGTTGAGCTGGATTGTGGTAACATAATCAGCAGCTTTCGTTTATTTGTGGTAGATCGCATGATTAGTGTAATTGTGGTTCATTGCAAGATTAACTGATGACGTACAGTCACCTGTTGGGTTTGGTTTCCACTTTTTTTTCCTCTAATAGTCATTTCTTTCACTTGTAGCTAAAAGGTGTGAGTGCAAGTTATTATTGAGCTTATTTATTGATTTGCAAGGATAGCATACTGGGCTACATGTTCACTTCATTAGCTTGCAAACTCGCCTGATTGACTAACACCTTATTGACCTTACAACGTAACCTTATTAGCTTTCAGAGTAACTTGCTGACCTAAAATGGCACACTATTGAGTATGATAGACACCTTATTGACAGAAAAGATAATCTTATTGGCCTACATAGCCATAATGGACTTCAAGGTAACCTTATTGAACTAGAAAGACAATGTACTGATCTACAATGAGACCTTATGGATCTACACCCACACCTTATTAGCCAATACAATTAGCCAAACAATTTGGAAGACTCACCAGATCGTGGCAGAGTTCGTTCTTAAGTTTGAGTTTCTCCTTGAGGGTGACACACTCCAGGTCCTTCTCCTGAACGTGGCGCTGAAGGGTGTGGTGCTGGCGTGTTAATATCTCAAGCTCCTCCAGTTGTTGTCTCAGGGTACTGTTCGTTTCCTCCAGTGCCGCCAACCGCACCACGTCTGCCTCACCCGACCTTCCCCGGGACAGACCCTGTGAAAGACATAAAAAAAAGTTCTTAGACCCTGAAGGATACGGAAAAAGTTCGTCTTAGACCCTGAAGAAAACGAAAATCATCTCAGACCCTGAAGAAAACGAAGAACAAGCTTTTATTTTGAAGTTTCGCTCTTTGCAGCGAAACATCCTCACAGCAAAAGCTTTACTTTTAGTTATGTACTTTGCTGAAAGATTTGCATACGAAACAATTTTTTCCCAATAGGCAAATTGACTTATACGCATTCAAAATTCAAGAGAAAAATAATTGAGTTGTACACACACCAGCGTTTATGATCTGAAGCCGATTAAAAGAACCATTCTTTATAACATGCTTAAATATGCGGAAAGAATGACATTGAAAGAGAATAATTTCAAGGATTATGTATTAACAGTGTTATTATTACGTAGAAGTTCTGGCTAAACAGCTTTAAAAGAATGATAGTGAATGTTTTCTTCGGATCAGCCAACCTAGGCGGGAGACGGCCGATGTTGTAAAAACAATAGCAAGAATTTATTGTTCACTGTTTTCCAAAACATTTTACGACTATTAGACAAATTTTTGGATCGATATTTTCCAGATGATTATTAAATAGATGGAAGGAATTTCACTTTTTTTATTATTTTCGCCTCTTTCATAAATCGTCGGTGACGACAATCAAGGAATTCCAGAGAGACGCGTGTCTGGAAGACATTCCAGGGAGAAGAGGAATGACAGGCCGCCCGCACAAAAGGATCAGAGGAGACCACAGGCCAGACTGTTAATTGCTAGACGTCCAGCTCAATCCTCTGGTCTCTCTCAGACATGTGTTTATTGTACCATATACACCCACACATGCCTACACTCCACAGTATACATCCACATACACATCCAAATTTCCCAGATACACTGACTCCCCCCTCACATGCGATTACACTACCACAATTCTACCACAATTCTACCACACTCCAACCACACACACACACACACACACACACACACACACACACACACACACACACACACACACACACACACACACACACACACACACACACACTCACACTTACACGACAGGAACTTTGTGATGAGTTGAAGAAACGATTTTAATAATTCTCAGTGAGAACAGGGGCAGCACGAGTCGAAGAGAAAGTGCTCACCAACATGTACTCGATACAAACCATACCACGGGCGGTGATTAAACTCGTGGTGAATCGTAAAACTCCAGGCCAGAGTATAAGCCACTGATTTCGTGAGACATGTACTCGATACTATCAAATGCTACGAGTCGTGACCAATTATCATCTTGGATTCTATTAGAGGGAACAAAAACACTGTCTGAACCACTAGCTAAAATCTACTATCAACCAAATAATATGTGCCTCAAAACCTATGAAAGGAAACAGACATGTATTCTACGTAAAATAACTGAGAAGATAATCAGGAGGGTGTAGGAGTAACTAAAGAATGAAGTACTTTCAAAAACAATAACCAGGAGAAGGCAAATCTTACCTCGCACACCAATTGGACTTCTGATATAAAGTAATTGAGAAAGATGGGTTGACCGCATATTCCTGATCTGCAAGAAGTCATTTAATACTGTCTCCACAAGATACTGGGACAAAACCTTAACAAGGTAGGCAGGTATAAAAATGAATAGACTTCGGTGGACCACAGTTCCTTATCGAGAAAGAAGAGACTGTACAAGGAGAGGTGACACAGTGGTGAAGAGCAACAAGTGAAGTTATGCCACGATCAACATTAGGACCAATACTGTTTGTAGTATATGCTAACGACATACTTGAAGAGATAACGTCAGATGTATTTATGTTTGCAGATGCAAAAATACTGAGGAAAATATAAAACGGTGAGGGCAAGAAAAATCTACTAATGTACCTTGGGAAGCTAGTCAGATAAGTGGATTATGGAACTCAGCCTCGACAAATGTAAAATTATGAAAACTGAGGAAGAAGCAGGACAATCGGAAAATGAGTAGATTCATGGGGCAGAGACTGTAATCCTAATCAGTGAGAAATACCTTTGAGTGAGCATGATGCCGAGCATATCGCCAGAGGAGTGCATCAACAGAATAACTTCTGCAGCCAATTACCATCCTGTAACTTTGAAAACAGCTTTGAGGACTAACAGGGTCATTCACTGCCCTATATAAGACATCAACCTCAGCATGGAATCTCTCACTTGATTAAGTATGTTAAGAAACAGGGAAACGTACAGAGGTATGCAACGAAACTAGTCCCAGAGCTATGGGAAATGAGCTATGATGAAAAGCTAAAAGAAATGAATATGGTAGGGCTCCCTGACTGCTCTGAGTCCCTGAGGAGGGAGAGATGAGGGCAACGAGGACAAGAAAATCAGCGAAGTCATGATAACGACAAACAAAATGCACAGAGGACTTCGGAAGTTAGACAACAATACACTGTTCGAGAGGCAGGACACGGTTATACTAAGCCTCATAGTCGAAAGCTAAAGGAATACACGAGTCACCGAAATGTCACGAAGTACTTCTTCAGCCTCAGGGTAATCAGGAAGTGGAAAATACTGGACAAAGAAGGTGGGTTCCATACATAGTTTTAAGTGTGAATCTCTGAATATATAGACTCAGAGGTACGTGTTTGTGTGTATATGAAGAGTGATTCGTATCTCTAAATATATACGTATACACAGAAAGGCATCTCTCAGTATATATACACAAAAAACTGAGTATTTATTATCGTATATACAATGAGTATTTATCATAGTATATACACAGTCCTGGAGTAGATCTTTCTTTCATACTATCAGCAAACAAAATAAAAAATGACAACTAAAAAATCTTAAAAACAGAAAACTTGCTTTAATACTCGAAAAGGAGAAAATGTCAGACAACAAAGGACACGACAGTTAAGGAAATGGAAGAGACTTTGATAAAAAAAGAAAATAGAAAAGTTTAAGGAAGCCAAGAGGTGTGGAAGATAGGCAGCAGCAGCACCAGTTTATAATCAATAGAGGCAGAATTTCAGTGTGATGCTCACGTTAAAAGAATGGTGGTGGTTGTTGTGGTGGTTGTTGTGGTTGTGGTGGTTGTGGTGGTGGTAGTGGTGGTGGTAGTGGTTGTGGTGGTGGTGGTTGTTGTTGTGGTGGTGGTTGTTGTGGTGGTGGTTGTTGTTGTGGTGGTTGTTGTGGTGGTTGTTGTGGTGGTGGTTGTTGTGGTGGTGGTTGTTGTGGTGGTTGTTGTGGTGGTGGTTGTTGTGGTGGTGGTTGTTGTGGTGGTGGTTGTTGTGGTGGTGGTTGTTGTGGTGGTGGTTGTTGTGGTGGTGGTGTGGTTGTTGTGTGGTGGTGTTGTTGTGGTGGTGGGTGGTGGTTGTTGTGGTGGTGGTTGTTGGGTGGTGGTTGTTGTGGTGGTGGTTGTTGTTGTGGTTGTGGTGTGTTGTGGTGGTGGGGGTTGTGGTGGTGGTGGTTGTTGTGGTGGTGGTTGTTGTGGTGGGTGGTTGTTGTGGTGGTGGTTGTTGTGGGTGGTGGTGGTTGTTGTGGTGGTGGTTGTTGTGTGTGGTGGGTGTTGTGTGGTGGTGGTTGTTGTGGTGGTGGTGGTGGTTGTGGTTGTTGTTGTGGTGGTTGTTGTTGTTGTGGTGGTGGCTGTGTGGTGTGTTGCTGTGGTGGTAGTGGTTGTTTAGTGATGGTAGTGGTTGTTGTAGTGATGGTAGTGGTTGTTGTAGTGATGGTAGTGGTTGTTGTAGTGATGGTAGTGGTTGTTGTAGTGATGGTAGTGGTTGTTGTAGTGATGGCAGTGGTTGTTGTAGTGATGGTGGTGGTTATGAAGGCAGTGATAGGCCCTCTACCTCGGTGTTAGTTGACTGTTGTAGGTCGCGTCTTGGAAGACCTAAGGACTTCAATAGAAACTAGCCACACTGCTTGACAATGGAAGATTCATTTGTTCTATTTGGTGTATACAAGCAAATGACAGTGTGTGTGGATGTTCGTCTCGTTTGTATAGTTTCCTTCACCGGTACTCTGGTGGAACCGGGATGTCTGCGCCACCTATGATTCAGTTTCCTAACCTCACTTGGGTGATGTGAAGGATTTAATTTCCTCTTTTCTCCTTTACCTTGTGACCTGACCAAGAAAGGAGCATTAGTTTACTCAACTTTCTGCTCCTCTCACACCTGAGTTGGCTCTCCTCTGGGATATAGTTTTTATTGGAGTGAATCTTACAAATGTTAAATTTCCGTAACAATAACATGCCGTTGGTTACCAGGACTGACTTCACAATTCTTGAGTTAGCAAAGACATGGATTTACCCATTTCTTTCACCCGTCTTTAGCCTTGACATGTCTTATTTCATGTCTCTGTTAAGATCCATAACTTTTTAACCCAACACACTGGATTTGGCTTTGGTCAACCATTCCGCGAAGGATTAAGGAAGCAGTATATTTAGGAGCAACAACTAAAAGGGATGAGAGTAACCCAGATTCTCCTGGACTGTGAAAACTTCCTACCGACCTATTTTCTGCACTGCCTTCAAGGGAGCGAGCACCACCACCTTCACTCGGGTTCCTCTTAAAGAGACAATATCAGTAGCAATGACCCCTTAAAGACCATAGAGACTAAGATAAACCTTTACGAGGTGAGCTTTCTAAGTCACGCAAATGAGGACAGTTAAAGTATATGAAGTCTATTCCAAGATAGATCATTTTCAAGCTATACGAAAGAGGTCCGACCAAAGATATTAAAATGAGGTAATGACCAAATCAGGAAGATCTCTGGTCCAGAAGTAAGGAAGAGGTTTGTCTCCCCCCCCTCCCCCCCTTCAAAAAAAAAAATAAGAAACATGTCTGTCCAAAGATACAAGAGGTCTGGACCAAGAAATAAGAGATCTACCCCAAGATATAAGGAAGAGGTCTACCCCAAGATATAAGTTGTCTATCCCATAAGATAAGAATGCTTATCAATATTATTATGTACCGAGAAGTATGTTAGCAATTCACAATATGAGGATAATGGCATTTTATAGAGAAGACT